GGGATGTTAAGAGGGAAGTAAAAAGGGATGTTAAGAGGGAAGTGGAGAGGAAAAGGGATGTTAAGAGGGAAGTAAAAAGGGATGTTAAGAGGGAAGTGGAGAGGAAAAGGGATGTTAAGAGGGAAGTAAAAAGGGATGTTAAGAGGGAAGTGGAGAGGAAAAGGGATGTTAAGAGGGAAGTAAAAAGGGATGTTAAGAGGGAAGTGGAGAGGAAAAGGGATGTTAAGAGGGAAGTAAAAAGGGATGTTAAGAGGGAAGTGGAGAGGAAAAGGGATGTTAAGAGGGAAGTAAAAAGGGATGTTAAGAGGGAAGTGGAGAGGAAAAGGGATGTTAAGAGGGAAGTAAAAAGGGATGTTAAGAGGGAAGTGGAGAGGAAAAGGGATGTTAAGAGGGAAGTGGAGAGGAAAAGGGATGTTAAGAGGGAAGTGGAGAGGAAAAGGGATGTTAAGAGGGAAGTGGAGAGGAAAAGGGATGTTAAGAGGGAAGTGGAGAGGAAAAGGGATGTTAAGAGGGAAGTGGAGAGGAAAAGGGATGTTAAGAGGGAAGTGGAGAGGAAAAGGGATGTTAAGAGGGAAGTGGAGAGGAAAAGGGATGTTAAGAGGGAAGTGGAGAGAAAAAGGGATATTTAGAGGGAAGTGGAGAGGAAAAGGGATGTTTAGAGGGAAGTAAAAAGGGATATTTAGAGGGAAGTGGAGAGGAAAAGGGGTGTTAAAGGGGAAGTGGAGAGGAAAAAGTGATATTAAGAGGGAGGTCAAGAGAAAGGGGTGTTAAGAGGGAAATAAAGAGGGATATTATGAGGGAGGTGGATGGAAAAATTGATATGAAGAGGGAAGTGAAGAGAAAAAGTAATGTTAAAAGGGAGGTGGGGAGAAAAAGGGATACTAAGATGGAAGTAAAAATTGATTTTAGGGAGGTGGAGAGAAAAATTGGTGTTAAGAGGGAGGTGTGTGGAAAAGTTGTTATTAAGAGGGAGGTGAAGAGAAAACGGGATGTTAAGAGGGAAGTAAAAAGGGATGTTAAGGGGGGAGAGGAGAGGAAAAGGGGTGTTATGAGGGAGGTGGATGGAAAAATTGATATTAAGAGGGAAGTGAAGAGAAAAAGTGATGTTAAAAGGGAGGCGGAGAGAAAAAGGGGTGTTAAAAGGGAATTAGAAAGGGATGTTAAGAAGGAGGCGGAGAGAACAAGGGCTATTAAGAGAGAGGTGAAGAGAGAGGGATGTTAAGAGGGAAGTAAACCGGATATTTAGAGGGAAGAGGAGAGAATAAGGGATATTATGAGGGAAATAAGAAGGGATATTATGAGGGAAATAAGAAGGGATATTATGAGGGAGGTGGATGGAAAAATTGATATTAAGAGGGAAGTGAAGAGGAAAAATGATGTTAAAAGGGAAGTGGAAAGGAAAAAGTGCTATTAAGAGGAAGGAGAAGAGAAAGGGATGTTAAGAGGGAAATAAAAAGGGATATTAAGAAGGAGGTGGAGGAAAAGGGATGGTGAGAGGGAAGTAAGGAGGGATGTTAAGGAGGTGGAGAGAACGAGGGGTATCGGGAGGGGGATCCGGCCTTTTCTTTGGCGCCGGGGGCTTAGAGGGTGCGTTGCCCCCGGCGTACGGCGCAACCGTGCAGACCAACCGCTGCCTCTCCCCGAATTTGCAGCCCTGCTGGAAATCAAAGTTTAAAATCGCCCTTGGGGGGCGTTTGGGGAATTGAGAAATGCGACGAAATCGCTGTCTAAATTGGCCCGGGCTGGAGAGAGAGGGGCTGTGAACGCTGCGGTCAGCGCCGCGCCGCCCTCGGGGCGCTCTTCATCAGCACCGTGGTCTTCATCTCCTCCATCATTGGGTGTTGGATGGCGACGTCGCTGTCCTGGATGGCGGGATGTCTGGAGGGTTGTTCCTGCTGCTTGGTGCCGACACACCTTGGGGTTTTTTTTTAATTTTCTCTCCAGGGCTGGTGTCGGCGGCGGAGATGCGGGCGCTCCCTCGCATCCACTTTTTGTGGTGGTTTCTGGGATTTGAGCTCAGCCTTCCCAAGCCCGGAGGAGCTGAAGCAAACAGTGCCATAGATATTGTTCGGGAACAACAGTCAGACACTCAGGGAAAACCTTTGCTTCGGTGAACAAAAGCCGCCCATGACAGTTCTTTTGTCCCAGACTTCCAGCTGCTTTGACCCTCAGGGTCTTTGGACTATCACAAAAGTCTGCCGAACAGACCAGTAAGTTATACCTGTATACAAGATGGTTTTCAACATGCTTCTAGAATCTAGAATTTTATTTTTCCTATAGTACGAACTGTCAATACCTTTTCTTACTTTCTATAAATCTGAATTTTCATGTTTGTAAGTCTCCATGATCGCCAGAGAAAAGGTCAAATAGTCATGCAGTACTCTCTAAATTTAAAACTGGCAGCTGTGAAACATGCTTTGAGTACCACTTTGTGTTTCTCATTATACATCTATGGCTTGGTAATCTTTTTCTTTAACATCCCTTGTGCTTGTCACAATGTCTATTGGGAAATCTGGGGTCTGTGCAGAAACTACTCCGGCTGTTCCTTCCAGGTCCCATGATCCCGGCAGGTTCTCAAGGCTTAGTGAGCTGATTGCTCCTTGGCTAAAGCTACCTTCCTCAGACCTGCTGGGGAGCACGAGGTGTAGTGATGTCTCTGATGAAGAGCACACTGAAGAAGAAAGGGTTGCTGAAATAGACTGAAGAGGAGTCAAGGTAGTGTCTGAACGGGGAGAGGTGCATCTTAAAAACTGCAAATTGTTTTTCTGGTTTACCTGATACTGGGAGGGGGAATTGTGAAGGCCCGGTGTGTAATAAAATTCACCGTCCATAGAATTTTGCAGGTTAGGTTCAGTTCTTTGGGGACTGCTACCTACAGAGGACAGATCTGTATTCCAAATGTCACATAGTGTGTTGCCGCGGCTAAGTTGTGCTTTGGTGCAAGTAAAGTTCCCAGCTTGCGTGTGCGTGCAAGGTTGATGTGTAGTCCAAGCCATTCGAGACTGCAAACTTTCCAGGGTAGGACTTCGAGATATGCTGTGCACAGCACAGAACCCTGGAGTCTTCTGGGATGTGAGCAGGTTCTCCAGAAGGTGCATCACATTCTTCATATCCTTACTTAATTGTGAGACTTCTCGAGTTAAAGTTGTCACCTGTTATGGCAGAGTGAAATATCACAACATTTATTTATGCAGTCATGCCTGAAATACGCACATACATATCTTTTTTTCCTTCTAACAATATCAGCTTTGATCTGTGACAGTGTCTTTACTTTAAAGAAACACACTCTACTAATACATGTGTGGGAAATAGTCCATCCGTCTACCTTACCACAGCTACATGTTACACTTCCTGTGGCATATTGAAATAATTAAAAGAACTCAATTAAAAATGTATGATGGAAACACCGTAGGCATAATTCACCTGATTTTAAATGATATGCGGTATATAAATGGCCTTACAGTCAGGACTGAGATGATTTCCAGTGGCAATATGACATCAGTAGCTTCTTGATCAATCATTAAATATTTTAGTGCATAAACCTCTTTTCATCAATTTTATACTGATGAATGATATAAAAATGAGGTCTTGTGAAATCTTGTTCAGAAATATACATGTGAAATATACTGCTGTCTTCATAGTAAAATAAAAGAAACCCATACCCGAAGTTGTCAGATGCGAGTAGTGGTTACATGAAAATCTAGTGGACTATTACTAAAGGGGAAAAAAAAAAAAAAAAAAAAAAAAAAAAAAAAAGACTGGAACCACTCAAGTGCAAACTCCGTCTACCCCTGCCAGGGTCCGCAGGCACGTCCACATCTCCTCATGATCAACGGTATCAAAGGCTGCCGGCAGATCTAAATGAATCGGCACGGGCACCTGACCTTTGGCCAGCGGCAGGAGGAGATCTTCGGATCCATCCCGGCACGGTCTCCGTATCATTCCCAAATGCAAAACCAGACTGAAAAGGGGTGGAGGAAAATCTGAGGATTCCAGGTAATGCCAAGAGCCGCCTCGCCATAAACGTTCTCGGCAAACCTTCCCCCCCCTCCTCCGAAAGGAAGGCCGGAGACGCAGGGGCAAGACTTGGGCCGCATCAAGAGATGATTTCTTGACCATCGGCCTAACGATTCCTCCTTGGAAGGATGGCGGGACCCCTCGCCCTTCCCAAGGGAAGCCGTGACCCTCTCCACCACGCGGGGGACTTCCCATCCCC